GGGTAACATAGCAACAAGCCAGTATAAGGGTAAGGTAACATAGCAACAAGCCAGTATAAGGGTAAGGTAACATAGCAACAAGCCAGTATAAGGGTAAGGTAACATAGCAACAAGCCAGTATAAGGGTAAGGTAACATAGCAACAAGCCAGTATAAGGGTAAGGTAACATAGCAACAAGCCAGTATAAGGGTAAGGTAACATAGCAACAAGCCAGTATAAGGGTAAGGTAACATAGCAACAAGCCAATATAAGGGTAAGGTAACATAGCAACAAGCCAGTATAAGGGTAAGGTAACATAACAACAAGCCAGTATAAGGGTAAGGTAACATAGCAACAAGCCAGGATAAGGGTAAGGTAACATAGCAACAAGCCAGTATAAGGGTAAGGTAACATAGCAACAAGCCAGTATAAGGGTAAGGTAACATAGCAACAAGCCAGTATAAGGGTAAGGTAACATAGCAACAAGCCAGTATAAGGGTAAGGTAACATAGCAACAAGCCAGTATAAGGGTAAGGTAACATAGCAACAAGCCAGTATAAGGGTAAGGTAACATAGCAACAAGCCAGTATAAGGGTAAGGTAACATAGCAACAAGCCAGTATAAGGGTAAGGTAACATAGCAACAAGCCAGTATAAGGGTAAGGTAACATAGCAACAAGCCAGTATAAGGGTAAGGTAACATAGCAACAAGCCAGTATAAGGGTAAGGTAACATAGCAACAAGCCAGTATAAGGGTAAGGTAACATAGCAACAAGCCAGTATAAGGGTAAGGTAACATAGCAACAAGCCAGTATAAGGGTAAGGTAACATAGCAACAAGCCAGTATAAGGGTAAGGTAACATAGCAACAAGCCAGTATAAGGGTAAGGTAACATAGCAACAAGCCAGTATAAGGGTAAGGTAACATAGCAACAAGCCAGTATAAGGGTAAGGTAACATAGCAACAAGCCAGTATAAGGGTAAGGTAACATAGCAACAAGCCAGTATAAGGGTAAGGTAACATAGCAACAAGCCAGTATAAGGGTAAGGTAACATAGCAACAAGCCAGTATAAGGGTAAGGTAACATAGCAACAAGCCAGTATAAGGGTAAGGTAACATAGCAACAAGCCAGTATAAGGGTAAGGTAACATAGCAACAAGCCAGTATAAGGGTAAGGTAACATAGCAACAAGCCAGTATAAGGGTAAGGTAACATAGCAACAAGCCAGTATAAGGGTAAGGTAACATAGCAACAAGCCAGTATAAGGGTAAGGTAACATAGCAACAAGCCAGTATAAGGGTAAGGTAACATAGCAACAAGCCAGTATAAGGGTAAGGTAACATAGCAACAAGCCAGTATAAGGGTAAGGTAACATAGCAACAAGCCAGTATAAGGGTAAGGTAACATAGCAACAAGCCAGTATAAGGGTAAGGTAACATAGCAACAAGCCAGTATAAGGGTAAGGTAACATAGCAACAAGCCAGTATAAGGGTAAGGTAACATAGCAACAAGCCAGTATAAGGGTAAGGTAACATAGCAACAAGCCAGTATAAGGGTAAGGTAACATAGCAACAAGCCAGTATAAGGGTAAGGTAACATAGCAACAAGCCAGTATAAGGGTAAGGTAACATAGCAACAAGCCAGTATAAGGGTAAGGTAACATAGCAACAAGCCAGTATAAGGGTAAGGTAACATAGCAACAAGCCAGTATAAGGGTAAGGTAACAGTATAAGGGTAAGGTAACATAGCAACAAGCCAGTATAAGGGTAAGGTAACATAGCAACAAGCCAGTATAAGGGTAAGGTAACATAGCAACAAGCCAGTATAAGGGTAAGGTAACATAGCAACAAGCCAGTATAAGGGTAAGGTAACATAGCAACAAGCCAGTATAAGGGTAAGGTAACATAGCAACAAGCCAGTATAAGGGTAAGGTAACATAGCAACAAGCCAGTATAAGGGTAAGGTAACATAGCAACAAGCCAGTATAAGGGTAAGGTAACATAGCAACAAGCCAGTATAAGGGTAAGGTAACATAGCAACAAGCCAGTATAAGGGTAAGGTAACATAGCAACAAGCCAGTATAAGGGTAAGGTAACATAGCAACAAGCCAGTATAAGGGTAAGGTAACATAGCAACAAGCCAGTATAAGGGTAAGGTAACATAGCAACAAGCCAGTATAAGGGTAAGGTAACATAGCAACAAGCCAGTATAAGGGTAAGGTAACATAGCAACAAGCCAGTATAAGGGTAAGGTAACATAGCAACAAGCCAGTATAAGGGTAAGGTAACATAGCAACAAGCCAGTATAAGGGTAAGGTAACATAGCAACAAGCCAGTATAAGGGTAAGGTAACATAGCAACAAGCCAGTATAAGGGTAAGGTAACATAGCAACAAGCCAGTATAAGGGTAAGGTAACATAGCAACAAGCCAGTATAAGGGTAAGGTAACATAGCAACAAGCCAGTATAAGGGTAAGGTAACATAGCAACAAGCCAGTATAAGGGTAAGGTAACATAGCAACAAGCCAGTATAAGGGTAAGGTAACATAGCAACAAGCCAGTATAAGGGTAAGGTAACATAGCAACAAGCCAGTATAAGGGTAAGGTAACATAGCAACAAGCCAGTATAAGGGTAAGGTAACATAGCAACAAGCCAGTATAAGGGTAAGGTAACATAGCAACAAGCCAGTATAAGGGTAAGGTAACATAGCAACAAGCCAGTATAAGGGTAAGGTAACATAGCAACAAGCCAGTATAAGGGTAAGGTAACATAGCAACAAGCCAGTATAAGGGTAAGGTAACATAGCAACAAGCCAGTATAAGGGTAAGGTAACATAGCAACAAGCCAGTATAAGGGTAAGGTAACATAGCAACAAGCCAGTATAAGGGTAAGGTAACATAGCAACAAGCCAGTATAAGGGTAAGGTAACATAGCAACAAGCCAGTATAAGGGTAAGGTAACATAGCAACAAGCCAGTATAAGGGTAAGGTAACATAGCAACAAGCCAGTATAAGGGTAAGGTAACATAGCAACAAGCCAGTATAAGGGTAAGGTAACATAGCAACAAGCCAGTATAAGGGTAAGGTAACATAGCAACAAGCCAGTATAAGGGTAAGGTAACATAGCAACAAGCCAGTATAAGGGTAAGGTAACATAGCAACAAGCCAGTATAAGGGTAAGGTAACATAGCAACAAGCCAGTATAAGGGTAAGGTAACATAGCAACAAGCCAGTATAAGGGTAAGGTAACATAGCAACAAGCCAGTATAAGGGTAAGGTAACATAGCAACAAGCCAGTATAAGGGTAAGGTAACATAGCAACAAGCCGGTATAAGGGTAAGGTAACATAGCAACAAGCCAGTATAAGGGTAAGGTAACATAGCAACAAGCCAGTATAAGGGTAAGGTAACATAGCAACAAGCCAGTATAAGGGTAAGGTAACATAGCAACAAGCCAGTATAAGGGTAAGGTAACATAGCAACAAGCCAGTATAAGGGTAAGGTAACATAGCAACAAGCCAGTATAAGGGTAAGGTAACATAGCAACAAGCCAGTATAAGGGTAAGGTAACATAGCAACAAGCCAGTATAAGGGTAAGGTAACATAGCAACAAGCCAGTATAAGGGTAAGGTAACATAGCAACAAGCCGGTATAAGGGTAAGGTAACATAGCAACAAGCCGGTATAAGGGTAAGGTAACATAGCAACAAGCCAGTATAAGGGTAAGGTAACATAGCAACAAGCCAGTATAAGGGTAAGGTAACATAGCAACAAGCCAGTATAAGGGTAAGGTAGCCTAGCAACAAGCCAGTATAAGGGTAAGGTAGCCTAGCAACAAGCCAGTATAAGGGTAAGGTAGCCTAGCAACAAGCCAGTATAAGGGTAAGGTAACATAGCAACAAGCCAGTATAAGGGTAAGGTAACATAGCAACAAGCCAGTATAAGGGTAAGGTAACATAGCAACAAGCCAGTATAAGGGTAAGGTAACATAGCAACAAGCCAGTATAAGGGTAAGGTAACATAGCAACAAGCCAGTATAAGGGTAAGGTAACATAGCAACAAGCCAGTATAAGGGTAAGGTAACATAGCAACAAGCCAGTATAAGGGTAAGGTAACATAGCAACAAGCCAGTATAAGGGTAAGGTAACATAGCAACAAGCCAGTATAAGGGTAAGGTAACATAGCAACAAGCCAGTATAAGGGTAAGGTAACATAGCAACAAGCCGGTATAAGGGTAAGGTAACATAGCAACAAGCCAGTATAAGGGTAAGGTAACATAGCAACAAGCCGGTACAAGAAGAGGCAGACAGTAGTTGGATTAGTTTTTTTTATTATTATTTTCTACCACAGACGTGGCCAGACATTTACAATGCTAACCAGCATATATACATTTTCTTCTGTCCTCCATGGACAGGGTTAGTGATGTGTTAAACACATAGTTCAGGGATTTATTGAACAATCAACCACACAAGGTGATTCGGTGCTTTTAAAATGCTAAGCTAACCTACATACGTAAATACATAGATACACAGATTTACGCCTGCCCTACATAAAGTGTTCGATGTTTCATTAATGTGCATTTACAAAGGTGAAATGTAATTCTGATCAGCTTCCATATGTACTTTATACACATACATACACACACACACATATATACGTACATATACATATATACATACATATATACACACACACATTCATTCACATACATTTGTCTCTTTTACTCTGACAGGTAAGGTCATCCCCGGAACTCACAGTTCCTGCGACGGCGCTGGAACCAATCGTATTGGCGTATGCCTTTCCATTGGAGACTTTCAGCGCCGTGGAGAGGGGGGACCTGCTGCATGGGTAACAGCTTCTTCCCCGAATCAACCAACCCTGGCTTTGTGCCCTGGTGAGGCCACTCCAGACCAGGCCGACACCAGAGTGCAACTCCAAAGTCTCCTGAGACTGATGGATGCCTACTACTACTCTGACAGTGTGAGATAGCTGACAGAAACTAGTGAGCGTAGTGGTGGTGACTTACAAGAGGTGCCAAGGCGCGAGGACTGACTGGTACACTGCTCGTAGCCGAACTCCTGCACCGTACACACACGCCACGGGCCCAAGTTCCCCATCATTGCTCCTGCAACACAACACAACACTCAGTGATAACATTCATCATGTACAAACTCATATAAGTTACTCATCATCACACTTGCTACTCAACACTCAGTAAATACTTAAAGATTTCTTACTCATATTCGTAAACAGTAAGAGAGCGGACAATGCTGAACGTGATATAAATTATCATATATTAGTCCTATTAAACCCCTTAATTGCTGTTTACTCATTACCGTATATCACTGATATATCAACCCAGATCAAACAGAGATTGCTTTTAAGTGATTATTCACATGTCCCGGGTGGGACAGAAGTGGTTGGGCGCATTTTCTGTCACCTAATGCGTCTGTTCACCTAGCACTAAGTAGGTACCCAGGAGTTAGTCACCTTATTGTATCCTGGTAGGGGGGGGGGGGGACTCAGTATAAGCATAACATGTACGTATGCACATGTTGCCTCCTCCCCCCCCCCCTCCCGATACAATGATTATATAATGATATAGTTAATTATGATTAAAGAAAACTTTATTTACTTACACTAGAAAGTTATAGAATATAGTACTATAAATATTTAAATTTATATATTGTATATAAAAAATGACAAGAACATTTAAGACTGATGAACACTGCATGAAAAATACAGTTTAGACAACAGTAATGGTTACAGCTGTATGCCTAGTTAAGGTTCAGGGTACATAACAAATACATTACTGGCATCTACTTTTGAAATCGAAATACTGTTGTTTCTGTAGTTTTGTTTTAAATAAATATAGAAACATCGTTGACAATGAGAAGTGTTTCATACTGACAAAGAAGGAGAATAATAACATTCTTGCAGACGAGGAGTCACAATAACGGGGCTGAAGTATGTTGACCAGACCACACAAAGCCAGAGCTTTGTGTGCGGGACCAAAGAGCCAGAGCTCAACCCCCGCAAACACAACTAGGTGAGTACACACTAGAAGGTGAAGGGACGACGACGTCTCGGTCCGTCCTGGATCATTCTCAAGTCGATTGGCAGGTTATTGAGAATCGACTTAAGAATGGTCCAGGACGGACCGAAACATCGTCGTCCCTTCATTGTCTAGTGTGTGGTCTGGTCAACACTCTTGCAATATTTTACAGTCTCCGTGGTGCAGTGGTAAGACACTCGCCTGGCGTTCCGCGAGAGCTTTGTCATGGGTTCGTATCCTGGCCGGGGAGGATTTACTGGGCGCAAATCCTTAACTGTAGCCTCTGTTTAACGCAGCAGTAAAATGTGTACTTGGTTGTAACAACGATTCTTCGCGGCGGGGATCGTATTCCAGGGACCTGCCCGAAACGCTACGCGTACTAGTGGCTCTACAACCATGTAACAACTCTTGTATATATCTCAAAAAATATATATATATCTGAGACTCAATATCACGTGAATTTGTGTGGCGGGAGTGGAGCGGTGTTGGCCGCCGTGTTGCCACACTGCTGGTGGCTCTTCTCCCACGCCTGGTGCAACACTTCACTCCATGTACAACAATATTAAAGCCTTTACCAAGTGTTCAACCCTGTGTTGTGGACTCTACCCGTCATCATAGTCCCGTAGAACACGCTGACATGCTCTTGGCTCAATGGTGTAGAGTCACATGTTGTTGTCTTACCCACAGACATACACCTGCCTCCATGACTATATATAGAGCCTCAAATGTAGGTATGATAGAGCCCACTAGGTTCAGGAACCTATACACCAGTTGACAATCAATTGAGAGACGGGACCAAGGAGCCGAAGCTCATCCCCCCCCCCCGCCGCAAGCACAACTAGGTGAGTATATCAGCATTCAATTCATACCAAAATAGCATAAATGTTAATGCTGGAATACGTGTTCCTCACCAGATTTAACAGATCAATTTATCGTAACCCTGTTTGAACTGATAAGAGCATCAGGGAGACAGACAAACTGCTCCCGGTGAAGATTGTACAACTTATAACACCCTGAGCTTACTGAATGACGCCCCCTAACCATCCTTTGCTAGATATATACAAGAGTTGTTACATGGTTGTAGAGCCACTAGTACGCGTAGCGTTTCGGGCAGGTCCCTGGAATACGATCCCCGCCACGAAGAATCGTTGTTACAACGATTCTTCGACATATATCTTCGACATATTCTTCGACAACGATACACCGACACATTTTACTGCTGCGTTAAACAGAGGCTACAGTTAAGGAATTGCGCCCAGTAAATCCTCCCCGGCCAGGATACGAACCCATGACAAAGCGCTCGCGGAACGCCAGGCGAGTGTCTTACCACTACTCCACGGACACTGGTCTTTATCATATCAGCCTTTCACAAGGTATCCTGCCAAGGAAATGGACACAGTCTGTAGTAACTGTGACTCAGTAACTTCCCAGATGTAACTGTGCTCACCATACTGATGCCTAGTATCACAACAGCTGTCATAGCTCCTAGTACTGCAACTTTCTCGTTGACCAAACCGCACACTAGAAAGTGAAGGGACGACGACGTTTCGGTCCGTCCTGGAACATTCTCAAGTCGAGACCAGCATTTTGGTCTCTGGCCATTTCTTAATTCTTCTAAAACTGAAGTAATCATTTGAATTTGTTTTCAAATAATTCATTCTACCACAGCAAATAGCAAAGTAATTAACAATTAAAAACTACTGCACAAGAACAAGGCATTTAATGCTGCAATATTTGAAGAACTCTGGAATGTCTTCATAGACACATAAACCTCACCTCTTCTGGGAAGGTGAAACAGACAAGCACTGTCTTTCAGACGATCCAGGCCTCCTGTTACGAGCTAGCCAGCCCCAGTAACAGAAATTGTTAGAAGTCGACACATTGTGCAGTCATCGGGAGGACAAACCCTCCATGCAAACTGCACAGGCTACTATCACGAAGAAGAAGTCGACACAAAGTTTTTATGAAAATGGTTCAAAATGGTTGACCTGTTCGCCGATCTCAGCAACTGGCAGGTGATTGACTCTGACACCGGTTGGTAAACAAAAGCCAGTCCATGACCGGACCACATTTGACAGTCCTTCTGGGAAGACTGGAATAACTGTACTCCTCTCTGTGCTGGTTCTAGTTAAATAATTGGCAAACTTCAGAAATTATTAAAGGCTCAAATATTCTCTTCTTATTCTGGAGGAAGGTATGTCCCCATCCCGTGGTCAGCGGTGGGTGGTGTAGCCCCACACCCATCCTGTGGGTGGTGTAGCCCCACACCCATCCTGTGGGTGGTGTAGCCCCACACCCATCCCTGGCGGTGGGTGGAGTGCCCTACACCCATCCTGTGGGTGGTGTAGCCCCACACCCATCCCTGGCGGTGGGTGGAGTGCCCTACACCATTCCGCCATAGGAATGTTGCAGCGAAACTTGACCAGTGCGAAGGTCTGGCGACAAAAAACTGGCAGACTACAGTACTAAAAGGTGGAAGAGTTATGGGATGCTGGGAGGACCCTTGTGAGTACACCGACGCCACCAGGACCCTTGTGAGTACACCGACGCCACCAGGACCCTTGTGAGGACACCGACGCCACCAGGACCCTTGTGAGGACACCGACGCCACCAGGACCCTTGTGAGGACACCGACGCCACCAGGAGGACCCTTGTGAGGACACCGACGCCACCAGGACCCTTGTGAGGACACCGACGCCACCAGGACCCTTGTGAGGACACCGACGCCACCAGGACCCTTGTGAGTACACCGACGCCACCAGGACCCTTGTGAGGACACCGACGCCACCAGGACCCTTGTGAGGACACCGACGCCACCAGGACCCTTGTGAGGACACCGACGCCACCAGGACCCTTGTGAGGACACCGACGCCACCAGGACCCTTGTGAGGACACCGACGCCACCAGGACCCTTGTGAGTACACCGACGCCACCAGGACCCTTGTGAGGACACCGACGCCACCAGGACCCTTGTGAGGACACCGACGCCACCAGGAGGACGCTTGTGAGGACACCGACGCCACCAGGACCCTTGTGAGTACACCGACGCCACCAGGACCCTTGTGAGTACACCGACGCCACCAGGACCCTTGTGAGGACACCGACGCCACCAGGAGGACGCTTGTGAGGACACCGACGCCACCAGGACCCTTGTGAGTACACCGACGCCACCAGGACCCTTGTGAGTACACCGACGCCACCAGGACCCTTGTGAGGACACCGACGCCACCAGGAGGACGCTTGTGAGGACACCGACGCCACCAGGACCCTTGTGAGGACACCGACGCCACCAGGAGGACGCTTGTGAGGACACCGACGCCACCAGGACCCTTGTGAGGACACCGACGCCACCAGGAGGACGCTTGTGAGGACACCGACGCCACCAGGACCCTTGTGAGGACACCGACGCCACCAGGAGGACGCTTGTGAGGACACCGACGCCACCAGGACCCTTGTGAGGACACCGACGCCACCAGGACCCTTGTGAGGACACCGACGCCACCAGGAGGACCCTTGTGAGGACACCGACGCCACCAGGACCCTTGTGATGACACCGACGCCACCAGGAGGACCCTTGTGAGGACACCGACGCCACCAGGAGGATCCTTGTGAGGACACCGACGCCACCAGGACCCTTGTGAGGACACCGACGCCACCAGGAGGACGCTTGTGAGGACACCGACGCCACCAGGACCCTTGTGAGGACACCGACGCCACCAGGAGGACGCTTGTGAGGACACCAACGCCACCAGGACCCTTGTGAGGACACCGACGCCACCAGGACCCTTGTGAGGACACCGACGCCACCAGGAGGACCCTTGTGAGGACACCGACGCCACCAGGAGGACCCTTGTGAGGACACCGACGCCACCAGGAGGACCCTTGTGAGGACACCGACGCCACCAGGAGGACCCTTGTGAGGACACCGACGCCACCAGAAGGACCCTTGTGAGGACACCGACGCCACCAGGAGGACCCTTGTGAGGACACCGACGCCACCAGGACCCTTGTGAGGACACCGACGCCACCAGGAGGACCCTTGTAAGGACACCGACGCCACCAGGACCCTT